ACAATTTTAAGTTTTATATATGAAACAAAATAAATGTTTAAAATGTAGACCATCTTCATAGTTACATATCTGCGCTCTTCGCCATATTGTCTGAGAAGCTCTTCTAATTTGAAATTCATTTGATCTTAGGACATCGGTGGCAACATTAATTCTGTGCGAGACATAAACTCGGTGTTGGACATTTTTCTTTCAAAATTACCCCACAAATAGTAATCAGGCAAGCAAAGTGACCAAGCTATCGGACAACTTTTACCCAGCCAACGCTCTGGATAATTTTTAACCAACAAGCCTTAGCAAGCCTAGTACTATTGTAACGTTGGCTTTTAGATTTATATAGTTTTGTAATTTTTACTTGTAAATCATTGAAATTTTTAAGTACCTGGGTGGTTTATAATTGGGAACGAAGGTAGGTTTACGAGCTTTCGTACATCTTGTGTCCCTTTCATGGAATAATAATTATTTACATAAACTGGTACAAGACAGTATATTATTTCTCATGTTAATATTTTAATACCCATCCTTCGCGGCTTAGAAGGTAGTCATGATACTAATAATCATCTAATTACCACCTAATCACCTATAATAGTCACTCTATCTGTAGATTAGTTACTTACCAAGTCTAAAACTGGGCTCCGCTTACTATTTGCTGACTCATTACAATATAAAAGATGGAATTTTTTGCATACATGTGTATTTTTTTTTATTAAATGGCCTATAATTCTAAGATTATACAGCTATTTGATAATAACTAATAAAATACTACAATGTTTGACAGCTTAATACTACATTTACATACATTTTTGATATTTTTATATTTTTTTAATATTACCCAAAAAGCTTAAAAAACATATGCAAAAGTATTACAGGAAATATAAATGTTTTAGGGATACGTTTAACGTCAAAAGGTGAGTGACAGTTGATAGATAGTTTTGACACGCCAAGCGGGGAATTTAAGTGGGTTACGAGAGACCTCAGCTAACACATCACGATAACACATATTATCCTTAGCATCTCAGAATCAGGCTTAAATACTATTTCCCCTCTAAATTAGGCCTCAAAACTTCTTTAGAAGAAAGCACAGCGAACTCCATAATTCTGAAAATACATATTTGCTCTGAAGTTCAGTTGTACATCCTCTAGAAAGTTAATCAATTGATTTGGTAAAAACTCTACATAAGTTCTTCCCTTTAAAAGAAAAGGTATTAGTTTAATTAATCTAACGCTTAATAATTCTGGCCCATAGAATAATGAGTAAAAATCGATGTTAATAGTTATTTGTTTAACTAGGCAGAGAAGTAACAGATTTACTGCCGCGGCTAGCATTTCATTGCCGAGGCGAAGCAAACCGGTAATATTAAAAAAAAATCTAGAGATGATAACAGTATTACCAACCATTCTAAAACTGAAATAAAATACAGGGTATGTAATAAACACAACACACCGTGTATCCAAAAATATTTTTGTATTACGTATTTTTTAAATCGATAGAGGACATGTGCCATATATGGAATATGTTCCTTATATGGAATACCCTAAAATTTAATAAACCAAGAGCGGCAACACCGCCACAACATCACTAATATCATGTTACGCCAAGACGAGAGTGCTGGCAGTCGTTTATGAACCGTTTAACGTAACTGTTGTTATTTCGCAGTTCGATCGATTTTTACGCGGCATCGTAAATTATTTAAGGTATGTATTCGAAATGTTGATATACCCAGTTAGAATAAACACAGTAATATCCTATACTCTCTTGTATATTTATATAACATTTAGCTTAGGTTTCTTATATTGAAATCTAAGATTAGCTTGTTACTACGTAACTTTGGTAAACGAAAAGAAAAATGGCCGGGTGTACCTTATATGGAATAGCACGCTGTTCCTATGTTAGAATATTCCATATTAGAAACACTTCGCTTTTTTATATAGAATTTCATGAGAAAACTGCAAAAGCTTTCTGTTAAAATATTCCAAATATTAATTCCTAGCCTTCTTTACAGAAAAATATCATGGGTCGTAAAGAATGGAGGGAACAAGACATGGTTTGTGTAATCGAAGCTGTGCGGAGTCGCGAGATGGTGTACAAAAAAGCCGCAGATACATTTAATGTTCCACGCACGACATTCTTCCGTCTTTCAACTAAGTCAAATGCAACACCAGCCCAGGCTGTTGAAACAAAATTAGGAAGATCCGCGGTCTTACCACAAAAGTTAGAAGATCAGTTGGTAAAGTATCTGCTTTTGATGGAAAAAAAGTTTTATGGATTAACACGAAGTGATGTTAAAAGGATGGCATATCAGCTGGCTACCTTAAATAGATTACCAAACCAATTTTCCAAAAATAATGAAAGCGCTGGAAGAAAATGGTTGAATGTATTCCTAAAGCGACACAAAGACAGAATTTCTGTCAGGAAGCCAACTGGGACGTCCATCCATAGAGCCAAAGGCTTTAATAAAGAAAGCGTGACCCTCTTTTTTGATATTTTGGAGACAGCATTTGAAAATCACAAATATCCAGCTGACAGAGTATTTAATGTGGACGAGACTGGCTTATCTATTGTTCAGTCGAAAGTCCAATATGTTCTGGCGCTTAGGGGCACGAAGCAGGTAGGAGCTTTAACATCTGTGGAAAAAGGTTCCTTAGTTACGGCAGTTTTGTGTATGAGTGCTGGAGGAAGTTTTGTTCCACCTGTTCTAATCTTCCCCAGAAAAAATACCAATGTTCTACTGAGAAAAGGTGCTCCTCCTGGGACAAAAATTGTCTGTCATCCAAGGGGGTGGATTGAAACCAACATTTTTACTCAGTGGTTTCTACATTTTATTGAAAAGGTGAAACCATCACAGAACGATCCTGTGTTGCTAGTTTTGGACGGACACCATACGCATTGCCGCAATTTGGAAATGATAAAGTTGGCAAGGCATAATTTTGTTGAAATAGTGTGCTTGCCCCCTCATTCTACACACCACATGCAACCTTTAGATAAAACGTTAATGGGACCTTTGAAAGCCCATTATAGTGAGGAGTTGAGATTATTTTTGAGATCGAATCAAAGGGCAGTCACACATTTTGACATAGCTGAACTATTTGGAAAGGCGTATCTAAAGGTGCAAACTGGGGCAATTGCCGTTAACGGTTTTAAAAAAACGGGAATATTTCCCCCAAATCGTCATATCTTCACAGACAGCGATTTCCTTGCTGCAGCACAAGAAAATATTGAGGAAGGGGAAGCCACAGCAGACAAAAATATCGCTGAAAATACTGAAGCAGCAAGGGAATTTATTGGACCCGAAAATATTTCACCGGTGCCAACTTTTAAAGAAAAGAAAGGGCCTCGAAGAGGAAGGACACCTGAAAAGGCAGCAATTATAACCTCATCTCCATATAAAGATGAGTTAGAAACTTCAATAAATGCAGTCTCTTCAAAAGAAGCTAAAACGGTGAAGCGTAAAGTGTTAGCGGAATTATCAGTTGACCTAAATAGACCATCCTGTAGTAACATTCATTTGCGCAAAACCAGTGCTTCAAAGAAGAAGACGATTATTTAAGATTCTTCTTCAGGATCAGAGTCCGCGAGTTTCAAAGACAATTCTTCTGAGGAGGATGACATGGAGGACATTGGAGCAGACAAACCACAGGAAGATGACGCTACTTGTTTCTATTGCAATGGAAAGTTTTTGGATGATATAAAAGGGGAGAAGTGGATAGAATGCGTTGTCTGCAAAGAGCGGAGCAATATCGATTGTTCGGGATGTGAAACTGATATTTTCATTTGTGAATTTTGTAAAGAACATTAGTTTGTTTTGCCAATATGCATTTCATTAAAAAATACATTACCTTTATTTTATTTTTTATTGGTAGGTTTACTTTTACTTGTTCAAGGTCTAAACTAAATTAAACTTTGTTTCTTAAAGGAATTCATATATGTTTAATAAAGTTAAAAAATGTTTTGAAATTTATATTGTTTTATTCTTACCCTATTCCATATTATGTACATATTCCACATTAGGTACAAAATTCCCCTTTTTCAAAGATTATTTTTTGAGGATGCCGGTATACAAATTTTCTCATTTCTAATATCAAAACCCAATAAATAAAATACTAATGTATGTTTATGAATAAAAGTAGAAACTTCTTTAAAAAAAAAAACAAAAAATACAAGGCAAAAACAAAATGGTATTCCATATTTGGTACTTCTCCTCTATAACTTTTATTTGAAACTTGTTTGCGTATCTATAACATAAATTAAAACATTAAACAAGTGGTGAGTGGCTCAGTGGTAGAGTCTCTGCCTGTGGATCCAAGGGTCCGAGGTTCGAATCCCATCGTTGGCCGGGATTTTTTTATTTAATTTAATTATTTAAAATTAATTTTGATGCCTTGGTAGGATTCCCCTCTCGACCATTCACTGTTGGGTTGTAATAAACAGTGCTGTTCCTAAAGTGGCATTGGGAAACAGTAACAAAGCCTACACAGAACACAAGGCTGATGGCCTTCTCAGTCGATGCTGATGACACCAAATTAAAAATTACTAATGGGACACCCTAATGCTTGGTATTCTATATTATACTCTTCAAGTTTAAACCCCATTTTCCATCAGATTTTTTCCAGAATCAATAGGTTTTATCCTCTCATACAGCTTGATTTTTCCTGAAGATTTTATAATTTGATATCGTTTTTTGTTTTTGGGTTAGGATTTTTTTCAATATTTGAACCTTCCTTATTTTCCTATTTTAATCTATTTATTCGTTCCCTTATAGACAAAATATTTCCTGTTGATATTGCTTTTGGTTTTTGATTTCTTGTTTTTATTTAATACCCATTGACCCTCATTTTATATAGATTTTTTAAAATCAATAGAAGTTGTTTTTTGCCAAAAATTTCACGTTGATAATATTGATCGTTTTTGTGATAAATTTGTTTTTTAAATATTTCAATTCCCTATAGAGCTTAATTTTAGCCAAAAATTTCAAATTGATATAATTTTTTGTTTTTGAGTTGGAGATCGATCCATTCAACAATAAACCATTTTTAAGACGTGCTTAGAATCGTCCAATTCTTAGGAATTTCATCTACCAAAAACATAAATCATTAACGTTACGAATGAATAAAATATCAAGAATTCTTTTGTATTCAAGCAAATATCAATCATATTTATTTGTGCATCATAAGTGACACCGATTTCCTCGACAAAAAAACACGGAACTCAAGACAAATAAAATCGACTAGATATTTTACTACAAAAGAAAATTATTGTTAAATACTGCATTAGACTCGCAAAAATGTTTAATATTTCAAATGAATCATAAATTATTCCTCATACTGAAACAGAGTATATATAAATATTGGTTGTTAATCAAAGCTCACTCCGTAGATCAATTTTCGTTTTATACCACGGTAGCTTTTCTTTTTATGATGCACAAAAACACAATGCTTAATTTTGCGTTGAAATTATTTTTGTTTCATAGTTTTTTTGTGTTTTGTAGTGCCTTAGATTGTATGGACCAAGACAATCAAACAGTAGATTGGTAAGTACGATAAAAAATTATTTAGATATTTTCTGGAATAAAAAAATGTATGAGGAGATAGTGTGTTTTCCTTCCTTTGCGTTTGCGCTCGAAATAAAGTGGTAATTTATGTATATAGTGTATGATCGCTTTATGGCAATGAGATCAGGGCCACGTTAATAATTGAATCGGTTATTTGGAAAAGGGCACATTTACTTAACACTCAATATTACAGTAGAAAGGAAAAACATTTTTAAATGAAATAGTGTGCATATTTTAATATTTTCATTAGTATGTGAGGAATCTAGTTACAGTTATTTTTAGTGGATATTTGAACAATCTACATATCATAAAAATATTTTTATATTTATTTCATTTGCGCCATTTTCCAAACTAATTAAGAATAAACTATTAAGGGCCAGTTTTTCAATCACAGTTTAAAATTTCGTTCACTTTAGCTTGGATCAAATATAGAACTGAGATTACCATCAATAGCATTTCTAATCATGTCAGTATCACAGTTCAGGTGATGTTAGTTTAATTTATATTGGTAGTTCTGGATCGAGGGACTTCCGACAAAACTGAAGGCTCTATATCAGTTTGACGTTTTTAAAAACATATTACCAGTGAAGATGAAAAATTGTACGAAACAGAAAAAAATTGACGAACTGCCAATTTTTCGAGTAACAAAGAAGAATTGTTGGTAAATTTTAGTTTCTGTACTTATGTACTCTAATTGGTAGTTTGGTAATTAAGAAGGATATCGTTGCAAAAATCGTATAGTTAACAGAACCATGATTTTAGGAGTTAAGCATTATTTTTAGAAAATAAAATATATGTTATTATAAATTTTATCTATAAGTCATCCTTCTATTTTGTTAATTATTCTGTTAGTCCTTTTCTTAGACAAACGAAATCTTGCATATTCTCTTAGGTACACAGTACATTAAAATGCATTAAATAGGTACCACCTATGAAGACTAGAGATAAGGAGACGAATCGGCATACTCAAAATACAATACCCAAAAACGCATGCTAATTGAGCTTCTATAATTAACCGGATGGGCTCTGGTACTGCATACGTTGTTCAAAATATACTGGGAATTATACATAATTTTGTCAAAATAATAAAAATAAACTTGTTTACAGCTAAATAAAGTACATAACATACTGTTGTATTTATTTCTAAATAAGTCTTGCATGTTTTAATTGATAAATTATTTAATTTTATCTATATAAAATACAAATTAGGTGTGTATAACCAAATTCGAAAAGGTTTCTTAATTGCTGAAATTTGATAAGTACAATTTTCTTGCAATTTTTTTTGAATTGAACCAATATATAGTTTTAAGAGTAAAATAAAACACAGTTAACAGATTTTTTATTGTTGTAATACAAGTATAAAGGAAGATTTGGGAATGTACATGGTATTACCTCATCCTTTAATTTCAGCTTTCCCCTTTTTATTTTGCTAACAGTACCATCAGTAAAAATAGTCTCATAATAATTGATAATATTTTCTTAAAAGTATAGAATAGCACTATCTCTAGAAAGTGCTTTATCGGAACTAGGAACGATATATATGCTGCCACTGTTCTATACGTTGAGTATCCTATAAAAAAACATTTACAATGACATAATTGGGGTCTAAAAAAATATTAGTAGCAACTCTTTATCTAATATTAAAACTCAATAAAAAATTAATTTTCTTTTCTAGTAAGTTAAATGTAATGCATATTTATAGTTGTTTGTAAGTCAGCAAGTAGAACTGTAAAATTTTAAATTATAAAAACTTATAATAAAATAAAATACACTTCGTAAGATACATATTGTGACTAGTTTACAATAAATATTATATTTAGACATGAATACATTATTTTACTTACATTAAAAGCTTTAAAAAGACATTGAATTGATTTCTTCTTGTGTTTTCTTTAGTTTTACATTTGATTTTTATTCTGTTTTACAATCTGAAACGACGTAAATCTTGCTCTGAAGTTTTTTGTCACTCATGTTACATGTACTCAGGTACTTTTTTTCACATTATTTTGATTTTTTTCATCATTTTTTTAAAAAATCACTTTATTTTACATTAAGTTACATAGAAAATTGACTGCGCTGTCATTAGACATGCCAACTACAGTCAATTTCGCGAACTTTATAAAAACAAGGACGGAAATTTGAAATTTGATCATTGCCGATTCACCTCCTTCTCTCTAGTCTTCATAGTACCACCATCATATTCACTTATTACTTCGAACATAAAATGTATGAAAATTGTGAAATATACTGTTACGTTTATTTTTTGGTATCACAATTTATTTCAATTCAACTTTTACAATAACTCAATTCAACTTTAACAATAACTCAATTCAACTTTAACAATAACTTTTCAATTAATAACATTAACGTATAATGTCTATCATAAAAACTGAAAACTGAAAACTGACGTCAGGATCATCCTTATATAGCTTCTCGAACTGTCGTCTAGAATATTCTTGACGGGTAAAGACATTTTCAGACATTTCTGGAATATTCTATCTTATTTTACTTGTACTTTTACTTATGGCGACCGCAGCACAGTGTAGAGCGATGAGTAACATTCCAGTGATAGCCGCAGGCTACTGCAGGGTGCTGCGTAACATTGCTCCCTCCTCTCTAGTTATTCGCCCCGAATAACTTAATTACTGGGACCTGTTTGGAGCCAACGGGGAGGATCTGGACCAAGATATGGCGCTAACTTTTCAACGTGAACTATCTCCGGGTTACTTCCCGCTGACAACTGAATGCGATAGATCAGGTCGTTAATTTTTTTAAGGACGGTGTAGGGGCCTTCCCAGTTCCATTGCAGTTTCTGACAAAGTCCTTTTCGGCGCTACAGCCATACTGGATCGCCTCACTCAAAATGTGTCCCTGTGGCATGCATGTCGATCCTAGCTTTTGCTTTATCGCTACTAATTTTCAAACGTTGCCGAGCGAATTCATATACCTTCTCTAATCTTTCTCTTAAGTTCTGTATATACGTGGGAGGTGTACGGTCCTCTTCTTCACCAGGAGGCTGCCTTCCAAAAAGAAGATCATGGTGAAGTTTAATCTTCCTTCCAGTAATCATCATGGATAGAGAATAACTGGTCGTTTCATGTTCAGAACTTCGGTAGGATAGCAGAAATAAAGGAATTGAAGTATCCCAGTCCTCTTGATTGTCAGAGACGAACATTGAAAGATACTGGCACATCGTTCTATTTTGTTTTTCTACCATTTCGTCGGACTGTGGGTGGAGAGGCGTAGTGCATGTTTTCTTAATGCCTAACAGTTTCATCAATTCTTGCCATAATTCGGATTCAAAATATCGTCCTTCAATATCATTTCAGAACCATTTCCATTAGACATTCAAAGGTGGCTGGGGCATTACAGAGACCAAACGGGAGAACCTGGAATCTGTATAGTCCGCTGCCAGTTGAAAAAGCAGTTTTGTCTTGATCGTCAGGATGTACTTCTACTTGCCAGTATCCGCTTTTCAAGTCTAGCGTGGAAAACCATTTTGCACCTGATAGGGTGTTTAGTGTGTCGTCTATTCGGGGGAGTGGATAGCTGTTTTTCTGTGTTATCTGATTTAATCTTCTACACAGAAACGAGTAAATCCATCCTTCTTAGTTACAAGAACCACAGGTGAGTACCAGGGACCAGAAGCTTCTTTAATGTTATTTGCATCCATCATGTTCTGAATCATATTTGCTACTTATTTTTGTTTAGCAAATGGGAGTCTTCTAGGTGCTAGTATAAATTCTATGCTGAACAAGACTGGTAGGCCCCGTAGATTTTCCTTTCTCGAAAATGTCACAGTTAGTATTAATAAATTCTTTGACTTTTCTAAGTTCTTCAGCTGTCAGGTGGTCATAATTTTTAACTAGCTGTTTTACAAAGCTGGCGTCAACTGAGGTACTTGTGGTGGCTTTCCCAGTAAAACGATCTTCGCACTTGATTATGTTTTCCACCGGTGTACAGAGCTCTATTTCTTGTCCTTTCTTCAGTTTGAATGGTCTCTTCGATAAATTGGCAACCCTTACTGGAATTAGTTTATCAACGTTAACAAGACATCTAGCTACCATAATTCCGTCACTTACAGATTCTTCACTCTCCACAATGCCCACATGCAAGCCGTGTGATTTCTCGCTAAGTCTCGCCGAGACGACAGCTTCAGAATTTTGGGGTACTTCTACGTCTTCTTCTACTAGGACCTTTATCGGTTGTCTTTTCTTTCGAATTTAGGACAATTTCCTTGTTTCCAATTACCAAGATCTTGTTTTGAAGGTCGATGATAAACTTATTTTGCATAATGTCTATACCCAGGACACACTGATCTTTAATATCGGCCACCAAAAATAAGTGTTCTATCAGGGTATTACCAATCTGTACGATTGCTGATATCTCGCCTAGAGCAGGGGTAGTGTGCCCTGTAGCTGTTTCCAGAACTAAGCTTCTTTGAGTTGGTTGTGGTTTTCGATGCAGGATCTTTAAAATCGCATCATACAAGGCTGGAATGTTATTCGCAACAATCCTGGCCTCTTCGAACGTATTCGGCAATCCATTAGACGTCGATCGGATGCTTGTATTTTAGCTGGAGGTGCAAATTTTGAACATCTGCTATGAAATATAACACTACTTTTATGTTTATATTTATCACAATTTATTGCTTCTATTAAAATAACGTTTATGAGATACAATAAACGACAAAACCTATCACACATGTTTATAGGAGTTACTTATCCTAAAATTGACCGACGAATCGCCTTCAACGATATCTTAGATTACTTTAAAAATGCCCTGTATAGAGTGGTGCAAAAATGTTTCCTTATTGTTAATTATTTTTGTTTTGTTTTATTGTATTTAATTAAGAAATAAATTTTACAAATGTGTTTAACACATAGCCCTCAGAAGATCTAGATACCGCATCGTAAAAACATTTTGACCCCCCATATGATGGGCGCCATGATAAATAAATGTCAATAAATTTTAAGTTG